GCAGTGCTAAACAGGAATGCGAACAGCAAACGGAATGCAAATCTCTTGTTTTGAAACAGAGCCATCAGGTTACAATGTACAATTCCATGAGAAGCAATGAAATTGAGTAAAAGTAAGGCAAAAAGTGGCAATGCTTGTTTATAAAAGCCGGAGAAAGTAGGCTGCTAAAAAGCGAATGTTGGCATCGATGGAAGCAAAAATAAGATAGCGTAAAAAAGACTAAATCAACTTAATTTACCAATTGATAAATGGCAAGAAAGTGAATATGCTTGCATTGTGGCACCAATCAAAAACCCAACATTCTAGATTCATCATTTGTGAAAGATTAGCAGGCCAGAAGCACAAATGTAAATATGCTTTTTCGATACTATTTTCAGTGAATAATATAGCTTCAGAAGAATAAGCGACATAATTTTAGCCATAAAGTGATTTCTTGTAGTTCATTTCGTATTTAACTTATGATGACTCCACGGGCCCGTTAGAAAATCCTCAAGAGATTAGGATCAAATTTTACAAAAAAGCATTTAATAGAGAAAAAATGCATAAGCTGCAGATATTTAAAGTATAAATATATCATTTTTAAACTATGAAAAAATGAACAAACAGAGTAAATAGCCATCTAAGAATCCACAATATTAAACTGGAACTTTATTAGGCAAATAATATAAATTGTATAAAAATCAAAAAATATTGCCAAATGATGCAAAAAGTTAAAAATTATAAGCTTCCGTGAGGATGATAGAAGCAATGATCAATTGAAAAAGTATGAAGTGACATTTGATTACAGATTTATCTAGCTAAAGCAGCAAAAAGTGATTAGAGAAAATATACCAGTATAAAAATAATTGTATGATAGATCATAGAAGAAACGAAGTATAAACTAGGGCTTAGAAAGCCATACATCAGTATGAGAATAAAGCAAGTTGGGAAGGCATGAAAGAAAAAGTATAACTTTTCAGGGGCTTGGCACATTTAAAAAATTGTTTCCTTGTTTTATATTTTTAAAAACCAGGGACACCACGATAAGAAATAATGAAAGAGTATGGCTAAATTCGATAAGAGTAGAGATGCGAAAACATTGTTAATAGATGACACAGGCTAACATAAATGATTTAAATGACCGATAAACTCTAGTGCCTCTTTTGAAAGACATTTTAAAACTATCCTATTTGATTTTTTTAGATTTTTTTAAAATAATTTGTTAGACTAGGCTTGACTTGTTGCTGAATCTTTACAATTGTATCTATTGCTTATTTGCAAGAATTAGGCAAAGCCATCAAGGAAATCAGAGGAACTGCCGCTTAGTCCACAATTTTTCATCAAGTCAAAGAACAAATGAATTGATATCAGTAAGAGACTTAATGGAATTTAATTATGCCACGGTACCAATCACTGTTGGGGCTCAGTGAATTTTAAAGAGTAACGTGATTGGATTCGGCTTAGTATCAGTTATTCTGGATATTCCAACTCCCTGAGTCAAATATATAGCTTAAAAGAAGCATTGCTACCGTTTGAAAAAAGAAATAATCGGGTGTGGCAGATGATTAGGAAAGGGATTATAAAGAATGATAATAGTACTGAAAAAGCTAGTAGTCTAATTAGGTCAAACCTAGAGAGAAAAAATAGAAGTAATAAATAATCCCGCTAACAGATTCTTAGTTGAGCCATGCCCAGCTCTCCAAATGCGCTGGTCAGAACACCCATACAAAAAACAAGTCAAAATGATCATGTCTCAAAATTTAGAAAAATAAGGAATGACTGCAAAAATGTCAGGAAGAAACAATGGTAACAATGCGATTAATAAATCGCAACGAAACGGTCATTGGAATCATATACAGTAGCATGTGTTACTTACCAACATAAAAACCCTAGATAATAAGGAAATTTACAAAAGAAGTAGATAATTAGAAGGGATGGAGGAAATCGTTTTCAGTCTTTATAGAAGAGAAATTTATGGAAATGCTACGGCGGCTATATGTTCAACGATTGCCAAATAGATGAAAAAAATTATTGAAGAGACTTGTGATTGTATGATGACCAATAAAAAATCTTAAGAGGCTTTACCATTGGGTAGTGCGATAATTTTTTATCAGTAAAGATTTAAACAGTTGAAAATACCTATACTAAAATATAATAATTTTGCTACGTAAATGTAATAATCATAGTGGAAAAAATATAATAAATAGAAAAAGTCACATGATTGTAAAGATTATCTTGATGGTCTAAACAGATTTGACTTTGTTGGCGCCCAAATGCTCATTGTCTACTACTAGCTCAATCATATCGTCAAAGGCACGTCCAAGCTCGAGTGCTAGACTATCTGGGGAGGGACCGATTGTCGAGGCTGGTTGAGAGGCATTCCGGAAGGCAGAAGTGGAGATAAGCATCTTATCAGGTAAGATGTTATAGCATACACCGACACCGTCCTGAACGACAGGTCCAAATGCAACGCTCACATCATTTACACTGGCAACCTAAGAAAGTCAGAATGATTGGAAAAAAGAAGAGATTATACTTTTAGGAGAATAGTTATTGCAATCACCATGAGAAATAATAGAATTTAAAAAAAACCTTAAAATATCGTTCATCGAAATTTCTATGTATTAAAAAAAGATTTTCATTCGTGTTCACAACTACCTCCAGCTGTCTAGGAGGGCCCGACGGACACACTTTGTTCACGGTCCGACTCCATAGTGCTCATGATATTCTACAGTCAGTGGATTTGGTACAATACCAGGTGAAGATGCGGCAGCATCGTCAGTTAGCCTTGCCAGTCTTGAGCAGCTTTCAGAAGAACGGTTGTGGTACTCCTCCTCCTAAACATTAGAAAGCAAGGCTAAGTGAAATTCAATGGCGTCCTGAGACCCAACCATCTCTTTGTGGGATAAAACTCAACTAGTAGTCGTTAAGCAACCTGAAGCGACTAAGTTCTTAGCGAAAATAGGCTAGCTATGATTGCAATTGTACCAAGGAACACTTTGGGCTTGGCACACATGGAACTAAGGCATGAGATAGTCAAAATGGATACGATGGCAGACGCCGAGTGTACTAAATGAACCGGTGAGAAAATAGCGGATCGGAAAGATCATAAGTGATGCTCTGACGGGAGTTGGAGGAATTAGGTGTTAGACTGAAAGGGCCAAGTCAGATCAACGATTTCGGCACCACTTGCTGGAAGTGCGAGTGGAAGCCAGCGAGGAGAGTGATTCCACCCCAGTTAATTAGCTCAAAAAAGGATACACATCAGGAGTAATTTAGTATAGGCAAGCTAGGAGTTTTGATTAAAAGGGAGTAAGCTAAAAGGATACGTGAATAGGCCAGGACATATGGAGAGATATCACAATCATTTAGCAGAAAGTATGTCAAGCGATAGACTTCACAAGTCTCTTCCTAAGTTGTAGCTCGGTGCCGAGGCACACTGAAGAAGCTGGTAATTGTAGCAAGTCAACGGTCCAGCACTGGAAGGCATCATAAACACTATGGAGGAAGGCCATGGGCTAGATTAAGTCATAGAAGTTACCCTGACAACACGACTAAGTTGAAAAACGAATCCAAATCAAGCTATACAGCGAAAGGAAACTGCGAACAAACTAAACTTTACACCGTAGGTATGTGTAAAAATTGGGTTTCGAAGAATCCCTTAAGAGCTTGATGTTGTAGTACCTGTCATTTCGTTTGAAGAGGCAAGTGGAAGGGATTTGTAAGAGAGTCTCACCGGAA